TAAAAAAAAAAAAAAATAAAAGGGGTGGGGGGAAATGCCAAATACTTTTAATTTAAAATAACCCTTAATAATGCAACATTCTCCAGGTAATGCTGACTTCTACTTTTACACATTTTTCTGCCCCTGTAAAACAGAACAAAGAGGTTTTGGAGGCAGGCTTTAAGCAGATTACAAGAGGCGATTTTCACAGAGGGATGGGAAAGTTCCTTTTTTTAGCACAAATCCTCTAAGCAGCAACCATCTACTATTTTTTCATAGCACGTAATTTCAGAAAGACTACCTCTCACTCTCCACTTAGAAGTCAAACTTTCCTTGAGGAGCTACAAAATTATTCTTCAGATAAATTATTAAAATGACTGAACCATTTGCTGTTCTAGGAGTCATGACATCTGTCTACCACGGCTTTATTCGTTTTATGGCTGGTACAACATCAAAGACTTACTTCTTTACTACTGGAAACTGGAAAGTGTTCCCAAGACCCTGCGAGGAAGGAAGGTTTGATCAACCTCTTTTTTACCACCTCAGAAAAAGACAACTGACCTTACCTTCTAATAGCAACCTTCTTGAAATACTGTATAAAAGATGACACGAAGTGTTGCCCAGAGAAGCTGTGGCTGCCCCATCCCTGGCAGTGTTCAAGGCCAGGTTGGATGGGGCTTTGAGCAACCTGGTCCAGCAGAAGGTGTCCTTGCCCACGGCAGTGGGTTGAAACTAGATGATCTTTAAAGTCCCTTCCAAACCAAACCATTCTGTGGTTCTATGATAATTCATATATAGGTGCATGTGGATGCTCTCTAGTGGCTTTCTTTGAACAACACAACTTCAGTCCAAGCACACCACTAAGAAGTCCAAGTCCTTAGAAAACAGCAGCATAATTAATAAAATGGAAGGTCAAGGAATGCAGCAAGACACTTATTTTCTATGTGCAACACTGCTAGTTGGTTGGGCTTTCTTTGTTTTGGATTTTTAACCTGTTTGAGAGTTACCAATATAGAGAGGAGGTGAAAGGGAAGAAAAAGCCAAAAGATACACATGAACTACCCACCCACCTAGCCAGTACACCAAGAGTTGTGTAACTGAATTTGTTTCCAAAAACACCAACATGAATAACTGTCTATATATACCAGAGGCGACAGGATAGGACAAGAAGGACAAGATGGTTTGCAGATACTCCGCACTGAGGTCAAACCAGCCCACTTGCTACCCAAGCAAAGCAGCGTCCACATGCTCAGGAGCACAGAGGCAGGACCAAGCCCCGCACCACACAAACTCAACACTTGCCACGAGAAAGCGATATGGGTATGGTGACCCTGAGCAGGTGAACCCCCAGCACACTACCCAGAGCAGCCCAGTGAGCAAGCTGGGGAGCAGGAACCACCATGACACTGCCCCAAGAGGCTCAGTCTGCTTGAGAACAGGCATATTTTGGCCCAAGACCTCATGCTCTCATGCCTGATGCTCTCTATATGCCTTTTCTAGAGCCTCCTGGCCTGCTCTACCTCCTTAATTGTTTTGAAGGGAGAATTTGGAAGGCACCAGGTAAGTTTCCATTAATCGCTTGACCATAAAATAAATTAATGCTGAGTGGCCATATTAAACTATGATTTGGGTCAGGCCAATTTATGGTGAACATTCACTGGGATGAGAAGGGAGAAACCCTTCTCCAAGGTCTGGCCAAGAGAGACACAACCCCCTATTTCCATCAAAGCTCAGGAAAGCACATACATTTTGTTTCTGCAATACCACAAATACCACTTTGTGGGCTGGGGGTCAGCACGGAGCTCTCCCACTGAGAAGATGAGAGATGGAGCATCTCCCTTGTCCTGCAGTGTGTTCCTCTGACACTACATTAAGTTTCATATAAACTCGTCTCCTCTCTTTGGCCTTTCCTGCACCATCCTTTAGCCACTGGAAACAGAGATACAGGTAGAGGACTTAGCAATAAAAGACCCCCTTTGCATGTGTATCTATCCTTAACTCCACTGCAGTTTTAAAACTCTGATACAACTGAGCTTTATCTCCTACATGCTTACTATGAATCCCTTGGGGAAGGAAATTAAAATGCTGGGCAATTTGAGCAGCTACATTGCATCAGCTACCCCACATCCTAGGAGAAACTTGTTTCTGCTCAGAAAGAGCCCATCACACCAGAAGTAAACACAACCACTCCAAGGGATTGCTGTGGCTTTTAATGCTCTCCAGAGACAGCAATGCTTCTCAGACTTGGCAAACCTTGCGGCGGTGGGTAATTACGCACCAGAGCTAACATGCCTCATGCAGAAGTGGGGTGGCCTGGCACACTGGTGTCCAGAAATGATGTGTGCCGCTCTGTTGGGAGCCAGACATGACTGCACAGCAGGCAAGTAAACACCTGCTTCATCATGCTGCAGAAAGCAGGGCATGGCCATCCCTCCCCATCCAAAGAAGCTCTTTAGGTATTAGGGCCAGGCAGAGATGCAGCCCCGCACGCAGGCTTGCGAGACCAACCAAGACCTATACCTGCCGACACAGCTCAGGAACCAGCGGCATTACGAAACAGCAGCAACAACAGCAAGAGGACTGCACAGCTGGGGTTTTACCTCTGGGCAGGCATCTTCAGCCTTATTTACAGGAGAGACACAGGATGCTGACAGGTTTGGTACCAAGAAGGGCACAGAGAAATGCTGGCTGAAGGCAAGAGCTGCTGCCACCCAAGCACTCCTACACTCCATGTGTGCTTGCTCACAAGTACACTCTCACCCCCAGGAGACCTCAGTCTCCTTTAGAGCTTTATAGCATTCACTTTAAAACCAGCAGAATAGCACAAAGTGTACAATACGCTCCTGTTTGGCCAGCGTAAGACAATATTTTTTGATAAATAATGTTCCCCAAGAGTGAACGCTATTGTTGTGCTCCCACCCCTGCCACAATACACTCTTTGGCTGTACAGAGTTATGCATGGTACTTGGGAAAAGCCCTATTCACCATCTTCCCAATGAAGGAGCAGCCACACACCCCCAAAAGCGCACCCACATTAATGTGTCACTGAAATCTAGCTTCCTTCAGTTTCAGGCACACACCCTTAAGGGGTATGTAAGTCTGGAGACACAGAAACAACTGTGCTCCTCCCTGGCACAGTCCCTCCAGAAGGCATCTCCATCAGAGAACAGGTGAGGGCATCTCCATCAGAGAACAGGTGAGAGGAAAAGGGGTGCAGAAAGCTGCAGAACCTACCACACAAAAAAAAGCCCCAAATCCAAACAAAAACCAACAACCAACCCTGCATGCATATATAACAACATAATTCAGTTTAATTGACCTAAGAGTTCATATAATCAGAAGACCAGTATGGAGAGAAGGGATGGCAGAGAGGAAGCCCACCTCCAACACCCCAGCTCTCTAAATTTCAGGGAAACAACTCTGAGAGCAAGATTTGGACAATACTTGATATTATGATGGCTGAGCAGCATAAAGCTTGGCACAAAGAGCGATGCAGCTGGAAACAAACGCTTCCTTTCAAGCAGCCTGACATGTGCTTGCTTTGAAGCTGCGGTAATTAGATACCTTGCAATAACGAGGGATCTATTCCAATGTCTACGGCAGCAAAAAAGCCAGTGACTTTGTTTAAAACAGAGACCACCAAGCTGTCCTTGGTGGTCTCTGCCGTCTCAAGAGCACTGGAAGGACCACATGGTAAACCTGATTTTGTTAAAAAGAACAACTGAAAAACACCCATACAACCACCCTTGAATCCATAGCAGACTATGAGAGCAAACACAGGAGCAGCAGTGGTATTGCAGATCTGATAAAGACAAAAGATGAACGTAACTTGCTAAGAGTAACCTTTTGCAGGACTAACTAGTTAAACTGGAAAAAGTTGACAACCTGAAGGCATATAGACCTCCTCTGAGACCCAAAATTAGGAGCAGATATTCCAGACTGTGCTGGAAATAAGTGTACTGGCTACATGACAGGAGCCTTTTATAGTTTATACGTGAAGCACCTCAAGAAGTAAAATGCAAATCAGAAGACAGAAGGTTACAGTCAGAATGAGGAAGTGATCAGTACTGGAAAATCTGCACACACATCACACAAAGCCCGTTGTTGCAGATGGAGCAGCAAAGTACTGCACAAGAAATACCAGTAAAAAAAACCCCACTGATCCGTGCATCCTGCCAAGAAGCCTGGAAATTTTTACCTAAGTTCATACAGCAATTGTATAATCAATGTACTCATGTGCCTTCAGTCTCCAAGAAGAAATTTAAAGGACACCCACACCCCCTGACTCTCAGTAGTAATGCATAAGCATGTGGAGGTTAAAAAAAAGCACTTATTTTCTCACACATTAAAGTCTTAAATACCTGACAGTGGCTCACAAGCATTTCAAGTTGCCCATATGCTAACACTTAGGAAGAACTGAATGGTCAGAAAACATGGTTTTCATTCTTTTCCTCCCCTTCCCTCCCCCACCCCTTATTTACTGCAATACTTGGCTGGAAAGCAAGAAGGCAACTCCAGCAAGCCAAAAGGCAGTACCTGATGAGCACGTGGTAAGAATTTCAGAACATGAGGTTCAGACAGCAGTTTGAGCTGTGAGAAATGGCATCAGCACCCACAAAACAGGAAAAAGAAGGTGAAAGGCTGGGGGGTGGGCTGCCCATCAGCAACTGGAATTTGGATCTGCTACTGGGAAGTTAGAACATCTCAGCCTATGGTCTTAGGATTTCAAAAGCTAGTGAGATACCTGCTGTTATTTTCAATTAGAACTAAAAAGAAAAGAGAGAAGAAAAAAAAACCACCAACACAGAAGACCTTATTAAGCAATTTTTAAGTCACTGGCAGAGCGAAGAGTTTCTGAAGAGATTCCCAGAGTGCCTGGGAAATCACAGAAAGTGCTTTGGAAAGACAGAAACCAGTGCGCTGTGAGGGAGTTATCTCAAGACCCTGATGCACAGCAGCTACGGCTGGAGGTACGTGCTCCAAGGACAGGAAGGGGAAGGACAGGCTGTGCGAGAACACTAAGCACCACGCTACAGACACTCTTCCCTCTCACCCTATACAGGCACAGCAAGAAGCACACACAGTTCTCTAAAAATTATGTCAAGCACTTATTTCATTGACAAGAGGCTATTTTCCCCAGGAGTGAGACCTTGAACCCAAATCATTAACAAGTTCCACAACTGAAAACCCACTGTATCCACCACTGACCTACATCAAGCCTCCCCCTCCCTCTGCTTCACCTTCCTTCTTGTGCTCTCCATCCTGCCCTACTTTAATAAGAGATTACTTCAGCTAAACCGCATAATAGTTTTACAGGGACAGTCAGCTAACTGAAAACTTGTCACATCTAGCTGGAAAGTGGAGTAAATAGCAGAAGTAATGGTTTCTGCAGCCAGCATTAGTTATGCTATTCCAAATTCTCTCTCTGATGCCTATCATGCAACCACAGCAAAAAATGAAAGCGAGTCAGGGACTGGAGTAACAGTGTGTTTCTTTCCACAGCAGCCAGCAAATTAATAATAAAAATCAGAGCCATTTATCCCTAGCTGTAAAAACTAGTAACAAGGAAAGCAATTTTACTTCAAGTAGGAAAGAAGCCCGTCCACAGAGGAGGGGCATTTTTCTCCACATCTGTCCTCTGAAGAGATTTACCTGCAGGATTTTACCTCTGCTAACGCAATCGAGGCTTTCTGCCCCCTTCCTCCTCAATTAAACCAGACATCTATCACGCTCAAGACTGGAGGAGTGGCAGATCCCGGGCGATTTGCTGAGATCCTGGCTCTTCCCAGCTCCAGGCGTTTCAGATACTCATGGTGGTGTACCACCCCCACCGCTTGCAGAGCAAACAAGCCAGGAGCACGCACGCACACACACACACACAACCACTACTATAAGGCTACAACTAAGCGAGCAGGATCCACCTACTATTCGGCACAGAGGCTGAAAACAACCCAGTTTTGATAAACTAAGCCTGCCATCGGTTTGGCAGAGGAGGAAGGCAGGCGGTGCCATTTTTATTCAAACCCAGGCTGTTCGGAGAATACGGTGCGCACAGAAATACTACATGCCTATAAAGAGGTTACCCTCAAAAGGCGGGCGAACTATCTCCGCAAGTCAAAATGCCGGATTATCTCGAGTGTTTTTGCACAGCGTAAGACAAAGGAAATTCTCTGATCCTTTGTACCCATTGATATTTCGTTAAGCGTTTTCAAAGGCAGCGTTTTGCTGAAGATGCAACTGCACGTAAGTGAATGAACGCGATCCACACACTAATTTCTTCCACGAACCCACGGTGGTGCTGAACACAACCGCTCCTGCGTACCCTTTACTAAAAGATAGGTTTCCCCACAAATAGGAAAGCGGGTTTTCTAGAAATACTGCATAATGAGTCATCGACACTGCAAGCAGCTCAACACCAGGCACCTTCTGAGCAAGGACAGAAATAACAGTGGAACAAAAATAGCCATTCATTGGGGGGGAGGGGGAGACCCACTGGGAGGGTTCGCGCCCCCCCGCCCGCCCTCTCCCACCATTCAGTATAAATCACGCACACACACACCCCGCCCGGCTGCGGCGGGTGAATGGGGACCTCGCCCCCTTCCCCTCCTCCTCCTCCCGGCGGCCGCTCACCCATCTCCAGAGCCTGGTTGTACTTCTCCAGTGCGGCCGGCAGCTCCTGGCGCTCCCGC